TAAGCTAGCCATTAATAAAAAGTGCTGTTTTTAATTGTGGAGGCTATTAAACATATGAGGAAAAAGGTTATGAACCACTGGCCTACTCTCTTTAGACAAGAGAGAGAGAGATAGAAAGAGGGAAAGAGAGTGATGCATTTCCCCTGAGAAAGCAACGATTTAGGAAAAGCCTTCAATTGAAGTGTGGAGAAAGAAGACATGCAATACTGAGCCAGGAAACACAAAAGTTCGCACAGTGAGCAATTTGCTCAAGCACATGACAGGTAAGGATACATCACACTGAATGTGAACTTAAGAGGAGGGCCGGTCAAATTTTCCATCCTTCCTGCTTCCTGTCGTCTCATCTCTTCACTCGTTCTCAATATCCTCCGGTCGAGCGGAGGGAGGACTGTATAATATGCAGCATCATGTAGCAGCAGGCAAAAAGTCCTGCAGGATTCAATAACAAGAAGCTAATAAGATTAGCGCGACGCTAATGCAGATGAGCCACTGGGGTGGAGAAGCCAGAAAAGATTCCCCCATCCCTGGAAACCAATAGAGGATGTCAATTTACACTGATCTGGCACCAGCCTTTTCCATCACACCCCAATGTTGAGCAGCAATAGCAGCTCTGGTGCTGTAAAAGGTGAAGACCCCACTAAAGGGGAAGTGCAGTCATTTGGCTGGAAAGCCGAGATTGAAGGGGGGAAATGTAAGATGTACGTTTATTGAAGACAGAGGTTGGAGTACGACAGGGTTGCCTACATGCCTGACTGAGTTGCTGGAGAGGGGAACAAGCACCTGGCAACTAGTTCTGACTAACCATAGATTAGAGAGAGATGGAATAGCTTAGCGTGGAATCCTAAGGGCCCTGGGTAGAGCTCTGCCCGGTAACTCCCTCTCATTGGTCCCCAGACAGGTGTCTTAGCCAATGATTGAGCAGTCAATGGAAACATTCTGCCGGGACTGGCAGGGTTCCACTCCATCGGGCTTGACTCCGTTTCTCACACAACAAACAAAACAAACAAGAAGTAACCTGCTGCTCTCATTAACAAGTCTCAAAGGAGTTTCCGTTCGAAGAACTGGGCAAGTCTTTATCGTGATCGTCAAATTGGTCTTTATCGCTCCAAGGTGAAGAAGTCCTCGGTAAGACGTCCAGGTAACAAATGCCCCCGTGAGCCTAAGGAGTCGGGACAGAAGTAGAGAGAGGATAGGATTTGGCCGCTAACACAATACTATACAAGCCCAAATTTATCTCGGATAACCCAGCACACACACACAAAGTCCCAAACAGTCTGTCCGAAAGCCCCTTATCTACGTTGGAGCTGCTGAAAAATGAAACTAGCATGTATCGGCTGTTCCCATCAGAGCCACACGCATACGCTCGACTTACCAAGCAGTCTCTCACACAGCAGCACACACTCAGTAGCACCTCATTGCACAAGAGGCAACATGTCGCCAAGGCAATCTGGGGTGCCGACAAGTAGATTTGACAGGAGCACTGATGTATGGTAGGAGATGGAGACGATATGAAGAGAAGACACTCATACACTCACAGTTACAGTGCTTTCCAAAAGGGCTAATGGATCAAATCTCTCTAAGAGTCTCTGTCAGCAGGTCGCTGGGTGTACGACCCCAAATCTTTACCCGCTAGATCTTGCTCAGTCCTTTGAGAAGCTCACTGGAAGACAAAGGTTCTTAACAATGAGTACGTTTACATGGACAGCAATACTCCGATTTTAATACGATTAAGACAATACTCTGATTAAGAATCTACCGTGATAAATGAAATCTGAGTCCAGCTGCTGCTGATCTGTGATGCGACTGTCGTTCGGCACACTTAGTTTTTAATTGTAGTGTCTGTTCTCTTACTGAACTAAATTATTTTTATTACTATAAAAAAAAATCTAAACGATGGTGGGCAAGTGACGTAACAGGTTTTGCGGCTTAACACCAGTAACACAGACTATTGCAACAAGCCTAATGCATACTGCAGACAAAACTGGACTGGACTTTCTCGATCTGCCAAGATCTAATCAGATCGGCTGGATTTATGCAACTTTTGTGATTAAAGGCACAGGTTTTTCTATCAGTCAGCTTTGAAACCAAGTCTTATTTACAAGGTACCAAGTTGATTCAACAAGTCCTTCTTGAGAAAGAACTAATTACTGGATTTGCCAAAGCTCACCAGGTTATTGGCATCAAATCACATGAAAGCAAATCAAATTGAGCTTGGTAGCTTTTACATGTCAGTCAGACCGTCTCCCTTGCCAATACTTGGCTAGAACAGACTGAATATGAACCAGATTTTGTGCCGACAGGTCAGGACAAAGTCAGGCTAAATCTGGACTGGTAACTAAGTTCCTTGCATCCCTACAAGAGTTGTTGAACAATCTATTGCTATTGTGTTTTCAGCACAGTCTGGTGCAAGACACAATGGTGATCGAACACTGATCGACCCTTGCAAAGATGCAAGCAACCAACAACCATTCCGTTTTCAGCCCACTTGTTATTCTACAGTCCCTGTAGTAAGTGTACCTTCAGTTGGGATAAAAATCTGATTGGAATGTTTTTCTTTTCACCTGTTCTATCTTGACCCATTCCTTAGGGACTAAGTGAATATATTTTCA